AAATCTTTACATTTATTTATAGTAATATTTCACAATGTAACTTGTTTTATTACTTTTTTCCATTAAATAAATGCAGCCACGATGAGCATAAGAGACTTCTTTCAAAAACACAAAATCTTACCGACTCCAAACCAACCAAACGGTAGTGTATAAATATTAACACATCAAACAGTGGCATGTAGCTTTCAAGTATTTCTCAGTTATTTAAACATTTATTGCTTTTAGTTGTCAAGGAAAAATGTGCTAATATTTTTTTTGTGCTAGTAATTTAAATACTCTGTGTACATTAATGTTATTAAATGTATATTATAAACATTTGACTAATTACCACATAAATGTGTTGTTGTGGTATTTAATGTCTTTAATATATAATCAATAATCAATTATACTGTTAATAATTATTAACAATATTACAGTAATAGTTTGATATATTTTTTTTCATGATTTATTATACTTCTAAAGCTGTCCTATAATTAAATCGATAACCTTGTGAAAAATGTAAGTAACCTTGCTCCTTTTGCAGATGCCTGCATGAATGGCAGCCACATAATGGACGGCCTCTTTCCTGCCTGCTCTTTTGTGACAACCACAAGAAGCAAGACCCAGAGTGAGTATGAAGTTCATATAGTCTTCAGTGGTCCAAATTCAAAGTCCGCATCCTAAGTCATCAGGGAATCTGACACTGGGCTTTAAGCTGTTTTTGCAGTTGTCTTTACTTGAAATTGTGTCCTATACACATGCTATGCATTAAACTTAGCCATTGATTTTCTTCTGAAGAGTTCCTTTCTGGCGCTTCCTGATCACTGGAGCTGATCAGAACCAGGAACTTAAGATGTGGTGCACAGTGTCATGGACGTGCTTACAAACTATCAGGTCTGTTCATTTCTTAATTGTTCGATATATGTTATTTGGTGTTGTTCAAGCTTGAGCATAAATATTTCTCCTCTATGGATATGATAGCTTATATTTGTGAATTTTAGAAGAACTGTGAATTTGTGTGTTTCAGATTTTCCCCTGATCCATTCAACAGCAGTGTACTACCCAGCTTGAAGGCCAGTTTGGACCTGTCTGCAGAATTTCTCATTCTCAGTGATGTTCAGAGGAAGGTCAGACTCATCATTATTTTATATTAGAGGTCGACCGATGTATCGGTTTTGCCGATTAATCGGCACCGATAGTTTTTTGCTGGAACTATCGTTATCGGCAAAAATCCATGCCGATAGTTTTCTGGGTTGCGTCCGTTGCTGGTGATTTCATAATACTTAAAAAAAAAAAATTTTTTACTAGATTCAGTGTGTTATGATTTAATGTTTTTTGTGTGTGTGTTTAAATAAAAAAAAATGTGAAGTAAAAGAGCAGCAGAAGTTTGTATGCAGAGACGGCAGACACTAGACAACATGAAAGTCATGCTTGAGTGTGTAGTAGATGAAACTGCGCTGCTCTGTCACACAAAGACATGCAGATCAAGTAGCAGTCTTTTTGTGGTTTAATTTTCATTGACACTAGTCCATTGCGATTTTATCCTTTGTGCAGCCTTACTTTTCTTTTATTCTTCCAAATTTTGCCAAATTCTTTGATGTTCCACTTAAGCTAAATTCCATATTTATGACTAGATTCTGCCATTCTGCCCATGTTTTCTACTTAGAAGAAATCATCAAAACGCCTTTATTTATATAGCGCTTTATGCAATACAGATTGTTTTAAAGCAGCTGTTTCTTATATAGGGCTCTAGTTTTGTTTACTTACTCTCATGGCGTTCCAAACCTGTATGACTTTTCTTTCTTAATTGGAAACCAAAAGAAGTTATTTTGCCTAATGTTGCTTATTTCCATACAAATGAAATGTAAGTCTTCCTAAAAACTCTCTGATTTAGCTCTAAAAATCTTATTTATATGTATTTATTCAAGAACCGATGCCATTTGAAATCATTGACAATCAAACCTGACAGAAAACCTCTACAAGCAGCAAGTGTGAAATCTAATCATTGTCTTATTTCTGGAAAGCACTAAAAATAGGTCAATCTTCAAGTTTGAGGAATTTCAGAAATTACTTTGGGACAGGTAGAAAGACAGGAAGTATCAAAGCAAATTAAACACGGTCAGTTGGCCTACTCTAGCATATGTCCTGTTAAATAGGATTCTTGAGTTTAGGTCAGTGTTGCTATTACAACAAGCAAATGATAACATTGCGGTTATGAGTAACTGGTTGTTTATTAGCAGCTGACTCTGGGTTGTGTGTTTGATATGTAGGTGTTGTATGTCATGGAGCTGTTACAGGATCAGGAAAAAGGCTGTGCCAGCTTCACTGCAGTTTCAGAGTTTCTGCTTACACACCCTGTGCTCAGCTTCGGCGTACAGGATGTCGCCCGCGCCAGACTGCGCCACACAGAAGTCCTTCCCCCTGATGAGGAAAGTGAAAGCATGACGACAGGTCAGTTGCTTTCCTTATTTTCATGCATTTTGTGTGTGCAAATGTTTGTTGTCTTGCTGTAAGTTGAGTGAAGATACATTCAATTGATGCTTTCTAATATTTTTGTGTCTATAATATCTTCTCACAGAAGGAAACCAGGGACCCTCGGAGTCCAAATCAGGAATCCAGATTAAACTCTACTGCGTGCATACAAAGTGAGTTACTCAAATAAAAAAGCTCTCAATGAAGACATGAAGTTTGCATTCAGATCTGTAGTGATGTAACACTCTCTTATGCCCTCAGATCACTACAGGATGTGCAGATCTGGTTCCAGCCCAATCAGGGGGCCTCTTCCTCCCTCTTCATGCCACAGTCTGGATCACAGGATGGCTTTGGTAAGTCTAGAAATGTGTATATATATATATATTTTTTTTTGCATACATGTTTCCTAGACTGCCACTGCTGAATCTACAGTGCTATAGCAAAATTAATACTTTTTAACAGAATTTACAGTCTGAAATTATTGCTGAGAAAGAAAATGGTGTACTTGTTAATTTTAAAATTAAATGCTAAATTTCTTAAATTATATAAAATGCATTTCCCTCCTAGGGTTTTCTGACCCACTGGCTGATCTGAATGTGGAGGCAATGAGCTCTGATAAAGAGTCTGGTGATAGTGGATCACAGAATGACCTGAGTAAGATTCTGGCTCTTCCAACTCCAGCTGACTTCATGAGTCCAGCCCCATCAGCCTTGCCCAAACTCATGACCCCAGATGCCTTCATGACGCCCAGCGCCTCCGTAAGCTTTTAATACTACAGATTCATCATTTGGTCCCTTCAGAGAGGGTGATTATTCATCTTTGCTCTCTTGTTTTTTTCAGATGCCCGCTTCTCCTGGCAGCAGTGCCAGCAGCCTGACCATAGTCACGGCCATGAGCAGCTCAGATAGCGGTGCAAGGTGGCAAATTTAACTAATTTATAATCTTTCTGTTTCACATTTTTTAAAGTCCTCAAACTTTCCAGGTTTTCCTGAGAGTGTTTTGAGACTTGTGGATCCTACTGTGTGATCTACACAGTGTGATAAGAAATACACATCTGAGTGTAAAACGTGGGGCCCTGTGTCCTCTCATGCACTCATAGGCATTGCTCAATTTTCTTTCTTCCAGAGGTGGAGATGATCTTACCCAGAGCCCTAAAATGTCTGTCGAATGTGGCAACAGCAGCTTGACTCTGAATGCCAGCGCAGGCAGTCCAAGATCCAACTCTATCCTCATCTCAGGCCTTGGGGAAAATATCCAGGTACTAATGGACATGTCAAACTGCATATAGTGATATATTGATGTCCAGTAGCCCTGTCTTTGTTTTGGTGTGTGAGAGAAGTTATTTTGTAAGATAGATATATAGCATCAGGGCAGTAAAAAATAAATTAAATTTAATATATTATTATTTATTTATTGAAAGAAAGAAATAAGTACTTTTATTCTGCAAGGATGCATTAAATCGATCAAAAATGACAGTAAAGACAAAAATATTCAAATTTGGGTTGGCTGATTTTTTTTTTTATTTATTTTTTTTTTATAAAGAAGTATCTTATGAAATAAGTCTTTTGCTGTCACTTTTGATCAATTTTATGCATATTAATTTATTAAATAAAAAAATTTCTGCCAGTAAACTTTTGAACAGTTTAAATGCTTATGTCATTATGGTAGATATAACGTAGGCAATATCAGTATTGACTATCCATCTGAAGAATTCAAATCAGATTTCAGCACTCACCAAATTACAGCACAGACTGTCAGTCTTTTAAGATCCGATTTAAATGAAAAACTCATTTAACAATTCTTTTGTTCCTAATGCATCCCTCCATCCACTCCATCCGGTTAGGCTTTCTCTCCCCCACTTGTGCTCTCCACATCCCTCCTGCGAGAGGCCTCTCTGCTCTGTGAAGCTGCTCCTTATTCTCACAGACTTCCCCTTCCTTATTTCCCATCTCCTCTTCCACAGGTTTCCCCTCCAAACCCTCCCCTCTCCCTGGATCTCCAGGCCATAGACCCCATGGTTGTCCCCCAGGCCTCTCCGACCAGAGCTCGCTCTCCAGATGTCATCTCCTCTGCTTCTACGGCAATGTCCCTGGACATCCCCGAGATCGCCTCAGAGACCCTGCAGAGGGGGCTGCCCGGTGCTGCTGCTGACTCAGGCCCTGTCCTGCATTCTGACAGCATGGCATCAGCCGCATCAGTCCTCCACCTGTTGTCTCCAAGAGCCCGGAGCAGTGCTGAGCACAGTTTGCTGCTTCTGGAATTGGGTGCAGCATCTGTGGATGGAGAACAGAGACTCAATAACACACCCTCCCTGCTGGAGACGGCTCTGTCGCAGGAGAACGCAGTAGCAGCTGGAGGATCCTGTTCGGACAGCAGCGTGAACCACACCTGGCCCGCAGCACCTGATATCACACGAGAAACTCGCAACAGCCTGAGAGACAATGGTTTGGGAGACTGGTAAGAGACTGCTCTATAATAAAATATAATTTTTTATACACAACTGATTAGAAGTTTAGAATAATTTTTGTTTTTGAAAGAAGTCTCTTATGCTTACCAAGGCTGCATTTGTGATCTTGTGAAATATTATTCCAATTCAAAATAACTGTTTTCTATTGTAAAATATAATAAACGTTTTAAAACGTATTTAAAATGTCATTTATTTCTGTGATGGCAAAGCTATATTTTCAGCAGCGATTATGCCAGTCTTCAGTGACACATCATCCTCTAGAAATCATTCTAATAGGCTGGTTTAGTGCTCAAGAAACATTTCTTATTACTATTAATGTTGAAAACAGTTGTCCTGCTTTATATTTTTGCAAAAACAGTTCTTTAAAATTGTAATAATATTTCATTATATTAACGATTTTACTGCATTTACGATCAAATACAAATATTTTTTTCAGACACTTTAAAAGAATTCTTAATTATTCCAGACATTTGACCAGTAGTGCATATTTATTTTATGTGTTTTGTGATTTATGTTGATATGTTTAGTTAATATTAACATTTAGTATTGATTTTTGTGTCTGGGAGTTTTATGATTTGTGTGGTGTATAGAGAGATGATAAATTGAGCAAACGGTGATAATATTTGAAGATTCAAGGCTAACACATTTGATAACTTTGTTTTGACTGTTTCCTTCCAGCTCTAGGGAGGAAATAAAGGACAGATACATTTCTTCTCCATACCACAGGCGCACATATCACCTGACTCAGAACGACAGTCAAGATGCAAGTGCAGAGCAGAGGTACACTTTACATTCTGGCGTATCACCTATGCAGGTGTCTGTGCCACTTCTGTAGCTCAGGTCAAATTACTATACTTGTTTTTCAAGTACATTTGCTCAATTTATGCTGTCCATCCATCTTAACTTTGCATCTGCTTGTTATGCCATATTAAGCTCTAAAATACTCAAAATACTGTGGTGTGTGGCCTGAAATCGGGGTTCAAATTAACATTTGTGCCAGTTGTAAAATCAGTGTTTTAACAGGTGTCTGGTAACTTAATTAGAAATGGCAACACTACATGGTTTTCTTTAAATTGTCTGAATGATAGTCTGACCTTCATATCAAGGACATGCAAGAAAACGGTCACGACTCGAGTTTTTTCAATAAGAAGTTCAGTGTTCTAAATCAGTTCTGAACTGAAATTGCCATGGTTACTAAACATAAGATGGGAGCCTGAGTTCTAATACATATCCTATTATGTGGGATATATATTCTTCAAATAAAGATACCAAAACTATAATACGTTTAACAAAACAAAAGGAGACATGTCTTATGCTTCATGCTTCTTATGCTCCAATAAAATATATTTATGGCTTGTCAGTTTTCTTAAGGAAAACTATTACAGCTGTCTGCAATTAAAAAATACAATATTTAATGTATAGTTAGCATCTGGGCCTAATTATCATAATCATATTTAAAAACAATTGTTCTTATGGATGATTGATCATTTTTAATAACTTATCACTTTTAATATTTTTACCTTTACTTGTAAAGGTTAAAAGGTTTATATTTAAAGTTTTTTTTATTTTATTTAAAAGTCTCTTGTTCTAAGCAAGGCTATATTTATGTGATCAAAAATACAGTAAAACAGTAATATTGTTGGATTATTACAATTTAAAATGGTTGTTTTCTATTTTGATATATTTGAAAATCTAATTTATTCCTATGATGGCAAAGCTGAATTTTCAGCAGCCATTACTCCAGTCTTCAGTGTCACATGATCCTTCAAGTCATTCTTATATTCTGATTTGGTGCTCAAGAGACATTTCTTATTATCAATGTTGAAAACAATTGTGCTGCATAATATTTTTGTGCAAACAGTGAAAGATATTTTTCAGGATTCTTTGAATATAAAATTCAAAGAACAGCATCTGTGACAATATACAAATCTTTACCGTCACTTTGAATCAGTAATACATCCTTGCTGAATTAAAGTAACTGTAGTGTGTACTGTTCTCATATGTTGAGAACTTATTTACTCCGAGTCCTTCCTCACATCTGCATATCAGTGCATGTCCGAACAAGTCTGAGCATGACTCAAAGACTCAAGATAATGACGTGAATATGCAAATTAAGGGCTGTGTCTAGGGGGTTTCTGACACCTGTATTGTCAGTCTTCAATACCTTGATGATAATTTTGCTCATCTTTTGTCTTTCCCTTTTATTTTCTGGTCCTGCTGTGATGGACAGTGATCATGATGATGAGGTTGCCAGTCTGGCCTCCTCCTCGGGAAATTGTGGCCCTCACTCCTCTCACAGACTTCCTGTGAAAGACTGGAAAACATCTCCCTGCAGCTCGCCTAAGCTCAAGAGGAAGAGCAAGAAGGATGAAGTGTGAGTGAGCTTACTATGGAAATCTCCCTGATATTAATGTTTATATTGTTTAATATTGGATTGAGCAGTGAGCCCCTTCAGTCACTTAATCTGATTGCGTGCCTGATTAGATCATCTTTGTTTTTCTCCCTACCCAGAGAGTCCTCACAGTCTAGACAGATTGAGAACCAGGTAAGTCTGTTGATCCCCTGCATCACAATCTGAATGCATTTCTTAGCATTTGTATTGTGTAAACCCAATGAAAATGCATGAAGGCTTGTTTTATGTCCAGTCACTGTGATTCATAATATAAATAAAACATTAATGCAGTGGAGACAGAACCTGATGAATAACATGGCAAGCTCAGTAGCATGAATGTTCTGCTGTGACTGCTATGACTCTTACAACTGTGCTGACATCAGTCAAGCATCCCCGGAAGTCCTTGAGCTTCACAAGTGAGGAATAAATGTGCTGTTGTGTCCTCAGATGAGCACAGAGGTGCAGGATGAGCTCCTACAGATGTTACGGAGCCAGCAAAGGGAGATCGCTGAGCTGAGACAGAACCAGCTGGACATTCTGCAGAGAGTCACCAGCCACATGGATGCTGTGCAGAGCTCCATCATGGCTCACATTGAGCACGCCATGTTGGCTCAGCAGGAACAAGAACGTATCCTTCCACTAGGGGGAGATTTGCAGCTGGGTTGAAGATTAGATTAAACACTAATGAGCAAGAAAAAATTAACTAAGGCATCCGTGCTATCACCTTAAGCTTTTGTTTTTGACAATATGAAATCTAGGGCTGCACGATAAATCGCATGCGATATTTAACGCGCATGTGCATTAAATATCGCATGCGATTTATCGTACAGCCCTAATGAAATCTAAATTGATTATTTTGTTTCTTCATGTTGCACTTTTTTGAATGCATAGGCTTTCATCAACAATATTTCTGGCAATGGAACCAAGGCTACATGGACTGAGATGAGTAATATTGATATTTTAGCCTATCATATATCTTGGCCACGCTCACTTTACATGCTAAATAAAATCCAGAAAGATAAAAGTCCTATTCTACGGTGTTTTCTACAGTATATTAACTTTGAAATATGTCACATTACAGACGTTAAATGCGTTTTGAATGGCGCCATAAACCAAGAAGCTATATTTTAAAGCAACTTAAAAATGATCTAAAATGACAATGTTAAAATAAACAAGAAAAAGCAAAAAAGCTGATATGAATATAATCATTCTCTAATGCATGGTATCATTTATTCATATGCATATACACATTAATGAATAATCACTTTGGATTGATCAGGCCCATGCAATTTGTTGTTAACTTTAACTGGTAACACAGAGAGAAGAATGGAGAGAATTCTGGCTGAAGGACAAAGCCGGAACCAACAGTTCCAGGACCAGCTGGTTCAGCAGCTCGTCCAGACTCTGAACAACAGTCTCTGCAACCGGCTAGACAAAGTTTTGCGTGAAGAAATGAAGAAGACCGTCCCACAGGGTGAGTGCTGATGTTCTGAACACAAGAGCTCAAGTGTACTTTTTTTCTCATAGAGTATACACCAATGAGCATTCTGCTCTTCTTCTGTGACTGTAAAATAGTTGGAGCAAAGACTTTTATTGATTTAAGGCTTGTGTGGAGCTTTAGGTGACCTTTTTTTCTGTTATGCAGCCATATCGAAGAGTCTAGATCCTGTGACTGGCCAGATGAGCAGCACCATCGCTGCCAAGTTAACCGCAGTGGAAGGAACACTGAAGGAAAATGTCACCAAAGTAGTTAAATCCAAGGTCAGTGGCTGAAAGTTTGAGAATGAACACTTTCAAATAGTTTTTTTTAATCCAAACTTGACATTTGTTATGATATTATTTTCCAAAGACTGAGTTAAAAACATTTCTGGCTGGAAAGGATGTTTCTCTGAAAGACATACTACAAACTGAGCGGTTCAGAAGAAGTGCACCAACTTCTATGCACTGATGTAGCACTGAATAATTCATTGCGGAACACCGAACAGGCACAAACTGTGGAAAACTCATAACTCTTCTAACTTTTTGTACTATTCTTCTATTCACAGAACACTACGGATGCTATCGGTCGTGCCGCTGCAGAGGCCATGCAGGGCCCCATCCAGGCGGCCTACAAAGAGACCTTCCAGAGCATCGTGCTGCCCGTGTTTGAGAGAGGCTGCCAGTCCATGTTTCAGCAGATCAATGACAGCTTCAAACAGGGAACCAACGAGTGTAAGAGCTATCATAGTAGACTTTACTACCCATCTGACTTTTTTATTTGTGCTTGTTTATGGTAATGAAAAATTAAGTGGAGCATATGAATGAATCTGGCAGATTGTTGAATGCTCTTAGGCCAGATTTGCACATCTTGTAGCACCAGCTAATTAATAAAACTCTTCTGTGTCAAGCAGTGTTGTAATGCGTTGCTGTAACTAAATATCTAATGACTTGACATTCTCCCGCAGACATCCAACAGCTGGAGACACACATCAAGAACAGGAAACAGCGGGACCAGGATGCACGGGATCCTGTGATTGGCCAGCTGCAACAGATGATTGACACGCTCCAGAATTCTCAAGACCAGCTGGCCACCACTGTGACGGCCAGCGTGTGCTCTGACGTTCAGCATCAGCTCCACATGATCGTGGGAAAGTAAGGCTTACCGCCGCACGCATGCAGCACAAAGCTCATCCAATATTTGTTAGAAATTAGGGATGCAACGATACAATTTTTTCCGATCCGATCCAGAAAATTCTGAGTATCAATGTAGAATTTCTATACTTCTGTGTGTTGACCTGATCGTCACTCTTTTGTGTGTTAAACTTAATTTTAATGAAAAATAACATGAAAAAATATATCATAATCTTTGACAAAAATACTATTATAAACTAGGTTAGTGGATAATTTAGCAGCAAAAGTTATTCTAGAAAAATTATGAGTGCACAATTTTATAAAATCTAAACATTTAGTGAAATAACATTATTTAGTGGGGAACAAATAAAAGTGAATATTTATTGTATTGTATATTGTATATTTATGTATTGAAATTTAGTGTAGGACTAAATCTGGTAAAATGTTACACATTGCTCTTTGTATTGTTGTAAAATACATGAATGAAAACAAGTAAATGTATTTATTTATAAATATAAACTATAAAATTAAAAGACATTTCTATTAAAAGTATCGCACCGTAATGAAGGAAGCAGCATACAGATAGGAGTCCTATCTATCATATGTTGCTGCCTCCATTACTGTGCTATACATTAGATTATTTAAAGCCTTTCTTTTTCCGACCTATCATAGGACAGAACAAGAAATGCTATAAATAATCTTTCATTGTGCACAAGTATTATATTACGAAAAGTTCCAATAGAGCGGCACAAAGCTCTTATGCGCATCCCGTGCACAGAATGATGCGCTTGAAGTAGGGCTGGGCGTTTTTATCAATTAATTCGAATTCAGTGTTTTGCCACAATTAAATTTTTTAGAAATCGAGGAATCGCGATTTTGAATATAAATATTACCAAATGTTAGAATTAGACACTTTGACAATATGCCGGGGATAACAGTAAAGAGAAAAGAACGATCCAACAGCATGTCGGCGCACGTGATTAACCGCTCACGTGTGACGCGCTCATATCGCTAAGCGCCATTCACACAGAATGCGCTTTTGTATTGACAAAGATGCGACGCGGGCAGTGGAATAGGTAAAATATGCAAGAAGATGGGAGTGAACTTCTTTTAACTTGAGCAGTGTTTTTAGAAGGCCATTTCATGCATGAGACACTGCAAGAGACGCGAGTGCAACAGTCAAACACATCCATGTTTACAATGGAAAAGCAGCGCAATCGAATAAAAAACCTGTAAAGAACTACTACTGTATGTCTGATATTTCATGTTTGCATCATGGTGACGGGCTGAAAGCTGCCGTTGTTTTTACAGAACATTTATAGATAATAATAGTCTACTGGTGTTATACCTTCAGTCATTTTGAATTTGAATTACCTTGACTTTTGAGATTTTTTTTTAAAAGCATTTTCCTCGTATTATTTCTGAACACATAATATGTATAAGACAAGTTTGTACAATATGTAGTTGTAGTTCATGCATCTTTTCTGCAAAGAGATTTAACAAGTGATTTGTTTAACATTTACATCATGTTGACAACTTCATGTGTTCTGCACTTGGAATAGAATTTTTTTAACCAGAAGGTTAATAAAGAAAAAGTTACTTGAATGATGTTGTAGTTACATTTTTAAGTTGACTAGTTAAAAATCATAATAAAAAAATAGAGAATCGGTCAAACGTTCTGGAAAAATCGAGATTAAAATTTTTTGCCAAATCGCCCAGCCCTAGCTTGAAGCAACATGGAGTCACAACGTGCAGCACTCCGCATATAGAAGTTCAAAGCACAAAGGAAAGAGATGTTGATGCGTAGTGTATTAAATCTGTGCGATAGTTTAGTGAGTCTTTTCTTTTAACAGTTTTAAATTTCAGTTACTGTGCGCTCTTGAAGAGAGTTTCATTGTTTTGACTGTCGTAACCGAACGCAACAGACAGTTTGAACACTGAATGGAGGATGACAGACAGCTGCAGCAGAGAGAAGAGTTTACATCAACTTGAATTTAATGACTTAAATATTCATCTGTACCTCACATTAAACTATGGAACGGCTTCAGAACACTTGGACTTTGACTTTATGGTGCTTTATAATGTTTTTGTACTTTCGTGAGGCTTAACAATAACACAGAATAGTATACGCCAGGGGTGGGCAAACTTGGCCCTTCCAGGCCACTTTCCCGCAGAGTTTAGCTCCAACCCTAATCAAACACACCTGAACCAGTTAATCATTGTCTTCAAGACTACTAGAGTTTTATCAGGGTTGGATCAAATCTCTGCAGGAAAGTGGCCTGGAAGGGCCAAGTTTGCCCATCACTGGTATACGCAGAATATCGGATTTGGATCGGTCTCGTCTGACTGATACCTGATCCGGCAGAAAATGCCAGTATCGGAGCCGATACCGATACTGAGTATCGGATCAATGCATCCCTATTAGGATTAAATATAAGGATAGGAGGAATGCAGCAATCGTTTATTCTCTTTCCTCTTGTATGCCTTCCCTTATGGAAGACTTTATTGCATGAATAGAAGAAGCGATTGATTTAGGAGTTATTGCAGAGAAAGCATTTTTTGGAGCTCTGCATTGAGTACCGTGCAAATGGATTGGCAGGTGTGGCACTTGAATTTCTGTCAATAGAGCTGGTTTGTTTCCCTCCCACTCAATTGCAGTATAAAGTATGTAGTATTAAATTCAGGATTAAATCACTGTGGCCTTTGAAACCCCAAAAAATAGCTAAATATTGTTTGTTACATTGAGATTTACATTGTAATACGAAAGTTCCAATAAATTCAAAATGTAGCCTAAACCACTCTTAAAAGCTTATATAGGTTTTTAATCACTGTACCTTTATTGTGTTTTAACATGTTCTTCGTCAGTGGAATCTTCATCGATAACTTGCAAACAAAAAATAATAACCATGGGATTTAACCGTAATAAATACCCATTTTAGTGTATTATTAAATTATTGCCATGTGCTAAGTTTTTCTCTTTGGCCAATAAGTGTTGGAAGCTGAACTTTAATTTTGAATGTGCTGAAAAATCCCTGAACAGACATACAGGAGCTCCCATTATTTCACATCTTAAGTTACTGTCTTTGTGTAACATTTGTCTAATAATTTATTAGACTAAACGGTTGTTAGTAAATGGTATCTACCAAGTATTACAGTGTTTGCTTTTCTGTTATAATAGAAAGGCAAACAATATATACGTTTGTCGCATTTATCAAATTTGTATTTATATAATTAAAACATCTCTGAGTATGTAATTTATTGCCATGAAAAATGTCACTTACAGTGTTTATTTCCTTTATAGTCATGTTTGTAACATTAGTAGGATATTGTAAACTATAGTGGGATTACAGATTTATTTTTTCATCAGGTTTCTTATTATTTTTCAAATGCTTTCAAATTTGGTAAATGTCCTGCAATGAAATTGATATTTTTTACATGTTATTTGCTGTCTTTAGATACAGTGATATCATATATATGTGCTTTATGTTGGCCATCAAAAAATCCATATTAGTTGACCACTTCTAATTTTTATACCACAGCAGTGTTCAATGGTGACATATCTTATTAAATACACTCCATTAATTTGATACATTTTACTGGGAGTAGAATCCTGTCTTTTGTTATAAACTAAAGGTGTCTGTCCTCTCTGCAGTCTGCAGGACTCGATCCTGATGCAGGTGCAGCGCATAGTGAAGGGAGAGGTGAGTCTGGCCATGAAGGAGCAGCAGGCAGCTGTCACCTCCAGCATCATGCAGGCCATGCGCTCGGCCGCAGGAACACCTGTACCCTCCGCACATCTGGACTACCAGGCCCAGCAGGCCAGCATACTGCAGTTACTACAGCAGGGCCAGCTCAATGAGGCCTTCCAACAGGTTGGTTACTGATCACTAGACACACGTGTCATATTTCTCACAGGTCGGCCTGTATCATGCTTCTGTGATTGTTTTAGGGCTTTTTATGGTTAGTAGAGGTGCATTGATTAGATTAACTGCTGTTATGTCGATAGATCTTTTAACACACCTTTACATGTATTAAGCCACATTATATAATCATTCATATATAGCCTCTTTCACACAGCCATTCCGGAAAATACACAGAAAATGTGTCCCGTGATTTGTCCAGGGATGGTTTGATTTTGGTTCATTCACACTGCCAATGATTTTCCGGAATCTGTGCGTGCGTTCACACACAACCCGTAAAGATTTGGATTTGACGTGTAATGCGACACGTATCGTTCAACTAAACTGCCAAACGATTTCAGCTTCAGCGCGGTTAGTGAGGAGCTTCCTGAGCTCTGCTTCATTACAGTTTGCACATATTTTTCGTCGTGAACATTGATCTGCCTTCAAAACACCCGATAACATGCGTCATCACTACGACACACCCTTTACGGCATTGGTCCTGGCTTTTGTTCACACAGCACTCGTTCCAGGACTGATCCCGGCAATGTTACTAGGTCCCCAATCCCGGGACGTGTTTGTGTTCACAGAAGGCACTCTGGCAATTTTCCTGAATCAACGCGCTGTGTGAAAGGGGCTTATGTATAAATTTAATTAAAATGATAAAAACATCAATATATAAGCTAAGCTTATTATTCATTTTATTTTTCCTCTCAATAACTTTTATTTGTATTGAAAAACATTAGAATAATATATTAACACTTCTGATTTCTTTTAATAAAAAAAGTTTGAAAGCAAAAAGGATTGTTAAAAATACAAAATACTTCCTTCAAAAAGGAGTAAAACAGTTAAAAACTACTGCATTAAGCCATATGTGACCCTGGAGCACAAAACCAGTCTTAAGTCGCTTGGGTATATTTTTAGCAATAGCCAAAAAAGCATTGTATGGGTCAAAATTATCGATTTTTCTTTTATGCCAAAAATCATTAGGATATTAAGTAAAGATCATGTTCCATGAAAATATTTTGTAAATTTCCTACCGTAAATATATCAACTTATTTTTTGATTAGTAATATGCATTGCTAAGAACTTAATTTGGACAAATTTAAAGGTGATTTTCTCAGTATTTTGATTTTTTTGCACCCTCAGATTCCAGATTTTTAAATAGTTGTATCTCGGCCAAATATTGTCCTATCCTAACAAACCATACATCAATGGAAAGCTTATTTATTCAGCATTCAGATAATGTATAAATCTAAATTTTGAAAAATTTACCCTTATGACTGTTTTTTGTGGTTATATGTCTGTAAAATCTGCCACATTGTACCGTTTACTTTTTGTGTAATAGACAACATGTGCAAAGCATTTTCACAAAAACATCTTTGCAAGGTCTTCTCCATTGAGGAATCAGTAGCATCCATGGTTTCCGTCTGTAGTGTTTTGTTTAAGTTAAGCAATGCAAATCACTAATAGCCAAAATAAGCATTTGGAAGGAGACGTCTTAACATAAGTGCTGACAGTCAAACCACTGTAACTATGCTATTAAGTATACTCTTGATTTGTATCAATAACTTGTTAATTTATTACATTAATTAGAATTTTCTGTCAATTTAGTGGTTGTAGGAAATCACTGTAATTATTAGCCATGAAAATTGAAACTAAACAGTTTAATTCTTATTTCCACAGGCAATATGCTATGAGATGTGACCTTTTATGTGTCCTTTTACTATCGTCTCTCTATATATGTGATCATCTTTCACAATAACACTGTATTGTATTAGTATGTCCTCTCCAGGTTTTTTTCACAGGCTGCTCGCTGTGGTTTTTCTTGCAGGCTTTATCTGCAGCAGACTTGAATCTGGTGCTATACGTGTGTGAGACCATTGACTCCCAGCAAGTGTTCGGCCAGCAGCCCTGTCCACTCCATCAGGCCGTCCTTCTGTCTCTCATCCAGCAGCTCTCCACCAACCTGAGCACACGCACAGAACTCAAGATCAGGTTTGTTCCCTTCGACTCCATCAGTCAGTGCAGTCATGCTCTATACTTTTTTCCCTCCCATATGTCCCTTATATGGAAGTTATTCCTTCAGCTCCCCTCGCACTTTGAATGAGTATGCGAGATCATGCAAAGCGCTGTGCTTTTAATGATTAAACGCTTAAGTATTTATTTATAATCCTCTGTATGTTGTACGTGATCAAGGGCAAAATACAGATTCATATCACAGGCTATTAATGCTTTAAGACTCAAGACATCGTCTCTTTCTCTTTATTTCCTCTGTGGATGACCTTGTGTTGAAGGGGACATCCACTTCTGTGGCACTGCTGCATTGGGCTGCAGTTATTAAAGTGCTCTACAGTCTGGGCTGCATTAGAGTTCTCTGCTGGGGGAAAGAGACCAGCTCCCGTGAATCACAGAGTAATGCTCTGCCTGTGTGCTGCCAAGTCCCTTTACTGCTATAAACTGCTCTGTCTGCCAGTCCTATCTCTGAATTGCACTCTACAATACTAGTGTTTCATACGGCCCATATGTGCATAGACATTACCATCTGTAAGTCTGTCCTCTTTCTGCATGGACATAAGGATGTTATTTTAAGAAGGAAGGCGCATGCTTTAAGTTTGATCTATTTTTAATGCCTGAATTAATATTTACAGGAGTCTGCGCTTTTGTTCATGACAAAGAACATTAGATGGCTCCATATTCAAAATGATTTGATTTGAAAATGATTTAATTATGACACTTTTGTTTCATTAATAGTTGAAATAGTGTATTACTTCAGTTTTTGCTGCTTACTATTTTTGTGGAAACAGTGATACTATAATAGTTATACTAACTGCCATTAAAAAATGTGGGGTAAATATAATGAAAGAAAGAAAAACATGTTCAAAAGTGACCGTATAGACATAGTTACGAAAGATTTCCATTTCAAATAAATGCTGTTCATTGAACTTTGTTTATCAAGAAACCCTGTATCCTGTAAAATGTATCACGGTTTCCACAAAAATACTAAGCAGCAAAACTGTTTTTAACATTGATAATAGGAACCATTATTATAAATTCAGCATCTGCAATATCTGATGTATAATTAATGTATTTTGAACCAAGTGAACATTCAAATATTTGTGAAGGATCATGTGATACTGAAGACTGGAGTAATGGCTAGGGATGCACGATATTATCGGGCCAATAACGGAATCGGCCGATAATGGCTTTAAATGTAAATATCGGCATCGGCCCGATATGGAAAATTATGCCGATATGTCTTGCGGGTAAGAGGAATACGTTAACTCGCATGTGCTCAGGGTGTGCTAGCGATTAGATCACGTCAACAGTGTGGCTCATTCTTGAAGAAAAGTTTTGCCTGAATGATGATTAGATTCACTGTATCACGAGTTTAAAGTTTGTCGATCGCGCGTCTCCAGTGAAGCTGAACTCTCCTACTGTCAGCATTCAATTCACACGGACCGACCGTCACACAGAGAACACGCGATCATCCAGGTGTGAAACTAAATGTTCATTAGTCATTCAAAGATTTGTTTAAATGATATAAATGCGTATTTGCTGAATGCTGACGGCAAACAAGAAAGTATTATAATGTTTGCCTTTCTATTACTAATAATATAAAAGCAATCGTTATAATACTTTTTGTATACATTTTAATTCATTTGTTTAACCTTTCTATCTGATTATTAGACAGATTTCTGTCCGTATTAGACAGAACTGTTAACGACTACAGCGAACAAGAGGGAGAATGTGAGCACTGTGTTCTCAGGCGCTGCCGCTCTCAGTGCCGTCAAAATAAAAGTCACGCCTCGAACGCATCGGCCAAACAAGAGAACTTATCGGCCGATGCCGATATTTAAAAAATGCCAAATATCGGCCGATATATCGGCCTTGGCGATATATAGGTCGACCACTAATCAGTGCAACAGCTGCTTCACGTTATGTAACACTTGGTTAAATAAAAAAAAAATAAAAAATACTCAGTAAAACTAATATTAAAATGGATTGTTATGGCTTTGAAATCTTTTTGGATTGGTGTACCTGGCCTGGGTATTTTTTGTGCTACAAGAAGTTGCCTTTTTTTTCTAGCGTCACAGTATATTCTGTCATTCCACCCATCTCTATGTGTCATGCTCCGGAGTTAAACATCAGCTTTTATCTTCGCAAATAAAGGTTAGCAGAATACAAGATGTGAACAGTGATTTCAATGTACCGGGAATGTAATATCTCTCCGGGCCAGTAGATTATAGTTGAGATAACATCACTGTGGGCTTAAATGTGTTGGAACAGGGCCTACACATGTGAAAATAGAGCAAATTGCTATGAGGCATGGAAGCTTAGCCATCTGGACAGGACCTGTTACAAGTCCTGGGGATATTAAGGTCATTGTATTACATTTCCTTCATTTTTTTTTTCTTAATTGGAAGCTTTAACTTAATGATCGCTTGTGAGGTAATTAAGATGACCTCTGTGCAACATGCAGCTCAAGTCGCTGGTGGTATCATACACCAGTGTCTATTAATTTAAAGAGGCCGATGGAGAGATTTCCCAGATAGTTTTCCAGACAGGTGGCGTTTCAGTAATCCTTGATGGACTTTATAAAAAACCCAAGCAGCCTGGAGAGAAAAACAAAAAAAAGCTTTAGCCTAGAATAGCTTAAAGAAATAACAAACATGTTCTGTTAACACGGCTGTCAAAAAACAGCAGATTTGTGTTTGAGGACTGGAATGAATGACTTGTGCTGGCCACATACACTACCATTCATGTTTTTTACTATTGAATTAATATTTTTATTCATCAAGCATTTAAAAGACTTTTACAATGTTATGAAAGATTTCTATTTCAAATAAGTCCTCTTGAACTTTTATCCAAAAATACTGAAAAAATGTAAGACAGATTCTTTATTATTATTAAATATTTTCTAAATCAATAATAAGAAGAAACCAAATCCTCATCTTTTAAAATCAGTATATTAGAATGATTTCTGAAGGATCATGTGACACTGAAGACTGGAGTGATGGCTGCTGAAAATTCAACTTTGAAAAGCTCAGACCTCTTGCACTTTTTGAGTTTAATATTAATACATTGTTAGAGGTCTGGCCCAGTGCAAAGTGCTTCTAATATTAATGAGAATTGGCTTCAAAGCAAACTGGTGATCGTAACAGGAGAGATTAAAGCAACTTAGCCTTCCTGCAAGAACACTTTGATAAAATAAATGATGTAAATGGTTCCTCCAGTTGAATCAAAGTCTGATGTGAGAGAAAACATTTGCTCCTTCATGACGCAGATGATTGCATGATGCTTGCGATGATGTTAGCAGGTATTTTACAGTTGTAAGCCAAGAAACTCTAAATGCCTGGAGAAAGCAATTTTTTTGGGTTCCCATTCATTTCAAAGGCACTTGTTCGGAAGTACGCAATTTGAAATCTGACAGTTTTCCTCATGAAGGTTTAGAGGCAAGTGACATAAAAAGCTGTAGAAAGGGAAAAATGTAAATTTCATGCTTTTAAGGTCCGTGGAAAAATATCTGCAATAATATGAAATATTTTTGACTTATGAAAAACCGGTTTCATCAGAATATGCAGCGACTTTTGAATGCCCATCGTTGTGGAAAGATTTTCCACCCCCCCACATGACCCCTTTCTCTCATTTTTCCGTAGCTATCTTGAAGATGCTGTGATGAACCTGGACCATGGAGATCCAGTCACCAGAGACCACATGTCTGCAGTGCTGTCCCAGGTACGACAGAAGCTGTTACACTTCCTGCAGCAGGACGCCCACAGCCCTCTTTGCAAGCGTGCTCGGCGCCTCATGATGATGCTGCAGGGCCTGGTCAATCACTAGAAGAGCCCCTTCGGATGGCGCAGCTGACATCTTCACAACCTCTCAGTCATTGTTCTGCAGTCTCGTAGACGACCGTCATGACCTCATACCACCCTGCTGTTCAGTTGCTTTATCTGTGCTCTGTAGCTTATTGGCTCTCTCAAGAAGCACTATTGGGAGTTGTAGTTCAGGCTTGGACTATATATTGGCGGCTTTGGACTACCCCCCCATCTTTCCCTCCCTCGTTCCTTCCAGACTATTTTTTTATTTTGTTTCTCTGCACATGTGAATAATCCTCAGTTTGTATGCCACACCATCATGAATGCAGAACGGGACATGGCTACTTCAGTTATTTTCATTATGCGTTCAATACCAGGAGACCACAACTTTTTTTTTCCCCTTTTTTTTTTTTTCATTCTTGACACATCAGGAACAAGACTGGAGAGCGTGAGAGAATGAAAACTAACGTGAACCCTCCAAATTTCTGCTGAATGGATGGTTTCCTGGCTGCTCTGCTTTCTTGTGGTGGAATGCCGTCGAACGTTATTGATAAAGGTTGTATTTAGGCCACTTATCCTTACCTGACTCAACTGTTTTGCTGAAAATAATTTGGCCAAGTTACTGCTTTTTCATGTCAAGTGGAGCATCATACATGTTTCTGGAATTTTTGTTAATGCTATCAGGATTTGAAATGGTCAAAGCAAGATTTTTGTTCGAACAGTTTAAATTCTGGACTATTGCAAAATCGACCCGCTTTCCAATCAGCAGAGCCCTGTAAATATATATAAGAGGGCTTATTATGTTACCAAGGAATGCTAACAACATAGTTACTTGGAATTCTTCAAATGGAACCTTGAGTCTATAACTTGTAGTTCGTCTGTAAGTCTCTAGAGGGCAGGCATTTGTGTTATCTTCTTTCTAATTTTATATGCTGCTTTTGTGATTTTTCAGCTCTTCCGCAGAATTAGACTACAGTGAATGCAACAAGGCTCTTCTTTTAAAAAAAATACAGGGGTTTTTTTTTCTGTGAAATTTTCCTTTCTGTATCGCAGCACCCAAATATTTGAAAGTGTTGGAGAAAGTGGCTGAGAAATGCCTATTTTCTGCTCCATTCTAGTCAGTTGTATTTGATTTAGACTGAGCTTGCCAACACTTGTTATTGATTAGGAGGGACTATCTGGTCATGCCCTCTGATAAAGGCAGAACAAAAAGAAAGTGCCTTATCAGACTATTGTGTATCATATATTGGTAATCGGGTCCTCTGACCCTACACTGGGCGCTGCGTTGGTGTGTGTGTGTAGCCTATCTCCAAGCAAATTTTCTTTTTTCACTAAAACACGGAATTGAAGTTAGGAATGGACAGTTTACAGCACTTGCAAGAAAATGTTTCAGTAACAAACCTGTGACCCGAGTTTATTTTTTCAGTCATTTATTCCTCACAAGGTTCATGCTAATGCGAGGAGGAAGTGCCGGCCCCGTTGATTGTGTTTGTGTTAACACATTATTTGTTCCCCTGTTGTCTTTATTTTTAGAGCTGTGCATATTATATCCATAGCCATTGGCAGCAGTCAGTGTGGCTCATTAGGACATTTTTACAGGGTGTAGGCAATGTGTCCTCTTTTGCTTTTTTCTCATATGTATAAAAAAAAAAGCTCTTTAACAGACACGAGCCTGCTGCGCAATTGAGGGTAAATCTGAGGCACTAATAAAGATGTATTAAATTCAGCATGCTTGCATGCTAATGGTGAGAGCCATGTAGTTAACCTGTTTTTACAAATTCAACACCCACTTTTGTTTAAGCTTTGTAAACCTGGATTAATCCTGCTTCATCTTCATTTCTATTTCTTGCGTAGTATAGAGTCCAGCAAAGACGACCCGTGATCGAATAGATTGTCTGATTCAGTTTCATGTTTTGTCTGGTTGAAAATGTCCTCTTGTCAGTTTTAAGATTCGTTGCAGTGCAAGGTTAATTGGTTTCCGATGCTGTTTTAGACGCGTCATATGATGATGTCTGGGTTACTGTACTAATTAATACACATTGCCTTCAGTTTTTGAGGCTTACAAACTTTTTTTTTCCCGTCAAGAGGTTCGCATTGCAGGTTGTGTATGACAATTTAATTGTTTGCCATTTTTTTCCATTATGTTTTGATTTTTGTTCCTTGTTTTTGCAATTCTGTTGTATATTTTCTTTCATCCTAGATGTTTTGGAATAAAAAAAGGAAAACATTGTTCAATGTTCAGTAAGACTGTGCACCTTTTCTTTTCCATATGCCTGGTTTAATTCTTGCAATAAGCTGTGGCACCTCCTTACACCTTTTAATATGGATCAAATTTATGAAAAGACAAACATGAATAAAATCAATTGAAATTAACATGCAGAGATGAAAATATAAACGCTTGAGGATAAAACGTCAATGTACTATTTTAGATGCATAAAACTTTAAAAAGTTTGAAAGTTACTCTTAAGAGTAATTTGCCTTTGTGAGTTGTTTTTAAAAATCTTGAAGATGGGATATAATTTCTTCATGCATTACACGTAGTATATAATATATATAACGACAGGGGCGGATTTAGTGAATTGGGGACCCCAGGCAAAATATAGGAATGGGGCCCTATACATTTGCACACATTTTCCTAGATCAACCTTGAGGTTCCATTTTTTGTTATGATGCTTGCTGCTGCACAAAGGTGCCCCATAATTGTGTCCAATGTTTCTACATTTTTCATGTACATGTTATAATGGCTTTCTTTCATGTTGCATAACACGAAATAGCAACTGATTTACAGTTGAGATACAGGTTTTCACAAAAACAAAACAAAACAAAAAATTATAAAATGATAAACCTCACAATTGAGCGTTTAAACCAGGGGTGAGTCAGAAGTATAAATTATTATATTAATTTAAAACGGGGTTATGTGGGTGGATTTTCGCATTGGTCTGAACAAAAACTACAGACTGGATTATTGAAAATGAACATTCATTCTCTGCCAGTAGGAGGCGCTTTTGGAACGTCAGAAATATA